AAATTTCAAATAAATATTTATTTTAATTTTTTAGAAATTCTTATGTATTTTTAGTTAAGTTATTTTAGCTTTTAATTTATTTATTATTTACCATTTTAGTAAATATTATGTTCAATTGGCCTTTCTGTTCTCAAACAGTAATAATTTATCTCATGGAATTTAAGTTTGAACTTAATTGCGTATTTTCTTACTTTATTATTAAGTTTTTATATAATTTTATGTTTATATTATGTTTTTATATTGTTGCTTTATGAACTTTAATTTAAACGATTAGCTCGTTTTTTTAAGAAATTTTAAGTATTTTTGATGGAATCAAACTTTTATTATGCAAGCAAAAGCATTTTATTTCAAAAGTAGCCTAAATGTATACTAGACAAATTATATACTGCTCATTGCTTTAAAATTAGTATACTTTCAGGCGGCTACATTTAATTAATTTGATTGCAACGGGCGTCAATTCTTCAACGGTTTTACAAAAACTTGGTTAGGAGTCTCATAAAGTTATAAGTTATACGGTACCAAAGTCACAGATTTGATAGATTTTGAACGTGATATAACACAGTTTTTTAACATTTTACTTTGCGTTATGAAAAGTTCTCACAACTTTTCCTCACCTAATTGTTAAAATTTATTACACACAAGCTTATGCATAATATTGTTGCATATATCTAGGCACTGAGCACTTTATATTTAAATTCATTTTTCACGAAATAATTGTAGCCACTAAAACACATTACGTCTGGTAGACAAAGTCCGCATAGCGTAGCTAAATATTTTCTTATAAGACTACTAATGCACAACGACACTCACGCGCAGACTAAGCAGCAGTATTTCTGCAGCCCATCTACAAAGTATGCTACATAATTTGCAGCTATTTTTACCTTATTTTCTCGTTGCGTGGCGTTTACACGCGTAGACAGCGCACGGCGTAAACTGGCCACCCGCCGCGCTTAATGTCGCGGTGCTGCACTGTCAGCGTGCAGACACACACACGCACGCACGCCACATACACACACACACACACAATGAGCAGCAGCTCAGAAAAAAAACTTCACTTCACTTTTGCCACATTTTCTTTGCACAATTTTACTTGGACTTTTTGGTTACAAAATTTTTCTGCCTTACGCCTCAGCCTTTAGCACACTTTTAGGCGTTATGCAAAAGCACACATACACACGCGCATAGAATACACACTGTTACTGCTTTGTTTTATTTATAGTTGCAGCACTTTGCACAATTCGTTT